AGTAGTCTTCTGTGGATATCAAAGGAGACTTCCACAAGTGAAAGGGTTCCTTTTATGTCATAACAGCTTTTGATTCCATGATGCAACTTTCCACCATTTGCAACTCCACCATCTCAGAGGGACATCCAACTGTCTGCAGCAGCTGGGAAGCAATGGGAACTGCAAGGCATCAGCCAAAAAAAACAATTATCTCCCCCTTTCATTGTTGTTTAAGGAGCACTATAGCAGTCATGTAGGTTTTCCAGAAAACCTTGAAGATAATAACTCTAAACCAGGATAGTTTTAATAGGGTTTTTCATGACACAGATCTAGTTTATGTCAAAGTTGCAATATACTGCAACTACTAGATAAAATACTGTACTTAATTCATCACTTTGGAATAGCATACAAAATTTAAGTTACTTATGTTTTAATATGTGTCAGTAATGGAGTCTGCTGTTTAGTGAAAGATTTATGCAAATGAGTTTTGTTTCGCATGAATGGATCTTATAGATTGTAAGTTTCATTGATTATGTAATTATACTGTAACCTGCTATTTGAAAGAAATAAGCAGAATAGAAATGTCTGATTTAATTGCCATAAAGGAATGCTGAACACCTTCAGCTGAAACTTTCCTACAATACAAATAAAAATGTATTTGATAGTTACTATTTTATTCTGAAAGTTTACTTTTTATGGTGCTTATGATTACTACCGTAATATATATACATATATCTGAATTTTATGATTATGGTATATTCCATTTATTGCCACAGCCTTAAGTGTAAGTTTTACCATTCATTGTTCTATTTTGCTTGGTTCCTTGTTTTTTCCCCTGTATATTTACTTGAATGTATTCTACCATCTATGTTTGTACATTTGTGCACTAGTTTATTGGAGTAAGATATCATTTTATTTATTTTTATAATGCATTAATGTCAGTAGTTTCATTTATACTAATTTCTGAGCTCAGAAATATTTAACTTAAAAAACAATAGTTAAGATGAGAAGGAAGGAATACTTAGTAGACATGTATGAATCATTAAGATCCGACTTGAATTTGGGATTCAAAAGTAGCAATTAAATTTGAATTCAGGTTTCAAAGGCAACATAATTTTAACTGATTGGACATTAAACTTAGAAAAAAATGGACACTGAGCTATAATAGGGAAAAGTATCATTGTGTGCAACTATTTAAAATATTTTTTGGCAGAAACTCTTTGGAGGACAACCATCCTGAAAAATTTCAATTGGCTAGTTGCAAGGATTTGATCATAGGCTATTTTTGGAATATTTCCCTAAAGAATATCCCACTTTATGCAGAGATAGCAGAGATGAGGAAGCAAGCTTCTAAAATGTCAAGCAAAGAACCTATTTAAAAATGGTGCTGAAATATTCCCTCCTCTTTTTCTCTTTCTCTTTCTCTTTTCAAGGCTCTAAGCAACTAACAATCAGAAATATAAGAAATGAGCCCTCAGTAAAAATAAGCTTACCAAAAACAATCTCAATAGTATGAAAAGAAGGCATAATATGTCTGTTTCTGCATCCCAGCATTCAAAGCTTGCTTCCCCCCCAGATCAAATGTGAAAGCCAGATCTTCATTTCTCTCAAGCTTATAAACCCAAGGCCACTTTGTCTTCCGGGTTCATGTTTGAGATTTTTCCTCATCCACATCTGATACCCACCTCCCCCAAGCATTTCTATTGTGTATTTTAAAAACTAGAAATATTCGTTATAACTTTTATCAACTAATTATGTTATAAAGAGACAGATCAGTATATAATATAGGTTAACAGCAGTAACACTATTTCTGGCACAGTTATGGTACCTACAGCTACAGCATTACTATTTTTAACATTGTCATAGTATTTATGATACTCTTTTCATCATTTTTTTCTTGGACATTAATTTTACAGCAATTATTTTACTTCTACTCTTTGTAAAACTACATAGCTATCATCCCCATATGAATCTTTAAAAGGCTCCTTCCAGCATTCTCATTGAAGTTTCAACACAAATCATTTCATTACTTCTGTTTTTATTTCCAACCACTCTGCAGGACTGTAGCCTTCTTTGCTCATTTCCCAAATAATTTTTATTTCATCAAAATAATGAAGTGTTTTGCATTTTCTCTCTCTTAATTTTAGCTCTTTTTGACAACATACTTTGCAACTATTGTTTTTTTCTGGGCACCTTGCAGTACACAATACCTTTCTCTCATCCTTATTATTTTGCAGCAATCTTATATTGTTTTTTCCGCTCACACACCACCATTTTACTTCATCAGTCATGCTTTTTCACACTTAGTTTAGTCTGAATACTTGAATGACAGTAACATATTTTTTTCACTTTGTTCCAGTTTTCCACATCCTTTTTTCTTAGGTCTACTTTCTGTTCATTCTAATATATCTTATAACACTTTTTCATACAGAACTCATACTTTCCCTGTCGGCAGTTTCATTTACTTTCATTCTTTTTTCTTTCACTTCTTCCTTTTCCACTTTTAACACTACAGAATAATGATCTATCCCACAATCAGCATCTTATTCATTTTGTATCCTTCACTAATCCTTTTCAATGAACAATTTTCTCATGAACAAATCTGCTTATTTAAAGACTTATATTCTATTCTTTATCCTGTGTATATATGACTATACTTATGTTTAAACCATGTATGCAAAATATTTTTTTTCTCTGAAACTCACCAGTCATTATTCTATTTTATTCTTAGTTCTCTGAATGGCACAGTCACTTTTACTACATTCTCATCTTATTTCCACCAATCCATTCATGTCCAAAAATATTTTTTGCCTGGATTACTTTCATTCAGGATGTTGTGTGATTTTCTCATATTTCTTATATTTTCATTAGAACTATTTACTGTAATGAGCTGTCAGCAATCTATGGATTCATACTTTCATACAAAGCCAGAACAACACTGCCACCAATTAATACTTTTGACATATATTTTAACACTTTAACTCATAATTAAATAATTACTTCTTTGCACATTTTCATCAGCTCTGCTCTGTATGTTCAAGCTGTCCATAATCAAATCTTTAACATCCTTTCCCAAGTGTTAATCTTTACAGGAAAGCACATTTTTAACTCTAAATTATCATTTCAATGAAGTTGAGGATATGAAACCATTTTGAACTCATGGACATGTGTAAGATGTAGAGAATATGTTTTTGCATATACTATTCAACTACAGTTTTTCAAATATTTGTTTTCTGCCAGTTAGCATTCGGACACTCATCTTTCTCAGCAGTTAGACCAAAGGAAGGGATAAAATGCATAAGACACAGAAGTGTGGGGAAAAGATATTAAGCCACTAACATATTCCATGATGTATAATTGTATACCCATTTTCTGTTTTTTCTTTGCATGATCTCTTCTTTTTCCATTATTACTAATAGTACAATCTATAGGAGTGGTGTGGTAGCCTAGATGTTAAGATGCTCGCCTCACACTTAGGAGGCTGAGACTTCAATCCTAGGCAATAGCAGCTGTTTCTCTTATCAGGGCACAAAGAGAAAATCTCTGTTGCGAACTCCATCAGGAAGGGTATCCGACCAGGAAATGTTCAGCTCCATTCAGTCTTCCTGACTCCACACTGACACAAGGGATTACAGGGTCGTAAAAAGAAACAAGAAAAAACCCCTAATAATACAGTCTATAGCAGGGTGTCAAACTCATGTCGTCACAGCATCATCATGTGACATTGTGAAAAGCTTTGTACAGCTGAACTTATGGTAGATAAAGTAGGGGCAACGATAGTGTACACTCTCCACCCTTTATCCATTTTAAGCTCTCAGATGTGTATTGTTGAAGAGATTTCTGCTATATCCATACCAAGCCTTCTCATGTCATCTTAATATAATGCATTACCTCACCTCACCCTACCCAATATTGCTGGGGAAGGCTTTTGCATTAACTTTAAATAAGTAAGCTGCATTGGTCTATGTGGCTCTTCTGAGGTAGTCCTCAAGTTACAACAGTCCAGTTAGTAACCGTTTAAAGTTACAGTGGCACTGAAAAAAGTGACAAGATTATTTTTCACACTTAATGATCATTGCCACATTCCCATGGTCATGTAATCAAAATTCAGAGTGACTCATATTTATGACGGTTGCAGTGTCCTTAGGTCATGTGATCCCCTTTTGCAACCTTCTGACAAGCAAAGTCAATGGGGAAATGAAATTCGCTTAATCGTGTCACTAACTTAACAACTGCAGTGATTCACTTAACAACTGTGGCAAGAAAGACATGTCTCATTTAGCAACAGAAATTTTGGACTCAATTGTCATTGTAAGTTGAAGACTTTTTGTACTGTAGATGAATATTGGATTGCACTGCCATGCAGCGAATTACTAAAATTCACTAATAAAAGTATTGCAGCAGTTTAAATTGTGTTTGAAATGATTTATTTTGGCAAAGAAATGCTAAGAAACACTTTCTTAAGCTCAGAAATACTCATTAAATGAACCCAAACAGCAATATCATACTCAAAATGAAATGCTTTGAATTTGAAACAGTTGAAATTCAGAAGAGATTGATCGATATGTGCCATCAAATCCTTTTCAACTAGTGACCACATAGATTTTCTCCATAGCAATCTATCCCCAATCTGTTCTTTTAATGGTGCACTTATCTCCCCTGTAACTGAGCCAGAACATTTTGATTTTGTGTCCCAAATATATTTCTTAATTAATCAACAGTTGCAGCAAATTTATTGGCATAAATTAACATTCCTTCTCCATGTTGAGAAATAAAGAAAAAATATTTAACAGAACAACAGAGTTGGAAGGGACCTTGAAGGTCTTCTAGTCCAACCCTCTGCTACAGACAAATGGTGGTCCAATCTCTTCCTAAAGCCTCCAGTGTTAGAACACCCACAACTTCTGGACACAAGCCAAACCACTGATTAATTGTTAAATTAAAAGTTTATAGATAATAATTTGGGAAGATTTTCTTCTACTATATAATTTCTGATATCTGCATTTTGCATTTTTCTCTAGTATCCCAGTACCATGGAGAAAAATGTTATTGCTGTAAAAACAGTAGAAGAGAAAACAGGTAAGTATTTTTAAAATGTTCAGCTCTGCTCTACTTAACCTTGATTCAGTAATCTGCTCTAGTAAACTATGGTTTAGATTACTGCAATATGTTCTATATGGAACTGCCCTTGAGGATGTTCTCAAAATTTCAAGTAGTCCAAAATACAGCAGCAGGAATACTGATTAGAACTGGGTATTGTAAAAATATTAAGTCAATTTTCTGTATTCTTTGGGTCTCAATGCAATCCACATTCAAGTGCTAATATTAATCTATAAAGCCCTTTAGGGCATGAGACCATGTTATTGGAAGGATTTTTATTTATGTGTTTATTTGACTTTATAAGCTACCCAACTCCAGTGGTCTCTTCCTGGATGTTTCTACCTGTTGCCTGGAGATTGTTTTCAGAATGTCTGTCCCAGGCCAGACATGTACACATATCCCCATGAACACACATACACACTCTTGAGAAGTAAAAGCTTTACTTAGAACTTAGTAAATATAGGCAGTGACAGGGAGAGCTTTTGTGCAAACGCATGCACAAAAACTGTTCTGTTCTCCTCTGTACACAGTTGGGCATGCTCTAGGGTGGGAGGACATCTGGGATCCAGCCTTCATCTGCTTCAAGGTGACTTGAATGTTCCACAGTCATGTCATCCTCAGGTGCCTAGTTGCTAAACTTCCTTTAAGGCTAATATTTGTCTTTAGCATCTTGAGCATCTTCCTCATTTCAGACTCTTCTGAGTCTGAGCTGGCCATCACAAGAGATCCTATTGTTGAGATGAAACCAAATAGTCACAGGCTGAAGCCTTTTCCATGATTCTGGTGCTAATTTTATTAACTTTTTGGCACCAAGCAAATATGTATTAATACTCTCAACCTTTAAATATATTCATATTAATTTAAATTTTATATGTTACATGGAAATATTTTCATTAATCGGGTGGCTGTTTTAATTTTTATTGTATATTTTAATTTAGATTAATTACAGTTTTTACACTGCAATTTTAATAAAACCACCCCGTTTAAGTAAAACTTAAGTAAGATTTACTTTCTTTTTTATTTAAAATTATCAAAAAATGTTTAGTTAATTTCATGTAACTGAGTACACATACAAATGCATTCTAGAATGCCTGTTTAATTTTAATCCACTAATAAAAATATACATAAAACTATAGAAAATGAATCTTCTTGTTAATTTATTGCCTTTAATTAGTTTAAGAATATTTATGAGGCGATGCATACTGTAATAGTGACGTGGTATTTTTACATAGAAATGTATAAAATATTTGAAATGATGGTCATTTACTACAATTTACAGTATTTATGCACTTGTATCTAGTACTCAGTGAGAAAAATAAATCTTTTTGACTGGCTTAGTTGATGAGGGCAGATGACTTAAACAATGTGAATGCTTTCTGTGTTTTAGCTCTTTGGTGGCAGAGAAGTAAACTGGTATTCCAAACTCCCTGCATAGCTGCATTGTGACAACATAATGTTAAAGCTGTAAACAAACACCATTCTGCTTGGTAGAGGAATGGAAGGAGGACAAGCTATAAAAATGCATACATAATAGCAGGATAACAAGATTTTAAGCCTCTGTGTCTGTGGACAAGGAAGGGAGAAAGTGATTGAAAAGTGGTCTACCTTGGGTTCGATTGGAAATGAAATAAGCTGAACTTGGGCCAAGAGATGACAGGCAGTATGATGAGAAATCATTTATATGAAGAAAAAAAATGACATCTCTCATTATTTGAAGTAACATTGCTTGGGAACGCTGATGTATTCATTTAACTAAAGTCAGTTGCATTGAGTTCTATGGTTCTTTAGAGTGAACATGGATAGATTGCACTGTCAGCTAATTACTAAAATTCACTAATTAATGTATTTCTTCTTTTTTTGGTAAATTTTATTTGAGTTTTCACAAAGAGAAAAAAAAAACAAATAAAACATCTTTTTTGAAAGTAGCGTAATCCCGGGTTACATTTCTTTGTACAGACACAAATTCAGGTTCATGCTCATTTTTATATTCTATTCCATATCTTATTACTATTTTACATTTTCTGCACAGCTTCTCCCCTCTTTTAATTTTCTCAATTTTATTTTAATTATCTTATCTCAATTCAAATCATTGTATTTATATTTTTTGTCTGTCCTGTTTCAATTATCTATTATCTTTTCTCATTAAACAAAATTTCTCCTGTGGTTACTGATTGGAGTATGACGCCTTTATATCTTTTCCCTAAAGTTGTAACATTCAATATAAGACATAACTTCCATTCGGATTCTGCTTGGTACATTCTTAAAATACACACTGTATTCTTAAAAAAAGAAAAAATTATAAATGTATATAATTAAAACAACATTCCATTCCAATTCAATTCTATCATTAATATTAATATTCATTAAAGTCTTAACATCTTTAACATTACTTTTCAATTAAATATCATACTTCTATGGGAACAATTATAAGCTTTCCATAGTTAATTCCCCCCCTCTTCACTTATATTTTATAAAACATTAACTAATTAAAATGTTCCTGTTCCTTCTTAATTCAATTTTCTCATTTATTTTATTTCATTTATTTTATTCACAAACATTTCACTAAATTACACTAACTGTTTTATCCCTCATTTTAATCATACGTTGTTTCCAATTTTCTAAAGTTATTTGTATTGCTAATATAATAATACAATCTTATGTACCTTTACAGAATCCCTTTTTCAGTTAGATTTTCACCCATTATCTCTAAATAAGTCCTGTTTCTCTATATCTTGCTCCAGTCCTTTGTAACTTCTTTTCCTTTCCTTCTTCCCTCTCTTCTTCTCTCTCCCCTTTTTACCCCTTGTCTCTCTATTTCTCTCTTCTGTATTCCCCTTTTCTGTTGCTTTCCAGTATTATACTTATTTTTTGAATTATTTTTCTTTTCTTTGGTTAGTTTTTTAAGTCTTAAATTCTCCATTCTCTTTCCCTTCTTTCCTTTTTCTTCCCCACATAAAATTGCTTGTTCTTTAAAGATGGCTTCTTCTTTGTCCCAGTCTTCTTGTTTTGCAGTCTTTTCTTGTTTTTTCTCATAGTTCCAAATCTCCATTTCTAAGAATTGAAAAACGAAGCCAAAAGAACCCTTCCCTTCTTGTGTATCTTCTTTGTACTTTTTAAGTTCCATTTTCAATTCATCCAGAAGTGGTGCCATTGTATAAATTTTTAAACAACCACCTGATTGATTTTAGTCATTCAAATATAATAACCAAGAATCCAAAGATCACCAAATAATCCAAATACACGCAAGCTGTTTCTTTTTTGCTTTTTTTTTTCACTTTCTCTTCTTGGGGTTACGATTTAGTTGCAAAGTTTCAGTTAAAATGTATCTTTTAGAAGTTTTGTGAAGTTTTACTGTAGATTCTTTTTAATTCCAGGCAGTCTCCTCCCTCTTCCAGATCCTGCCCTTATTATTTTTCTCTCCCTTCCTGCTTATGAAAAAGAAAATTTTTAATGTCCAGAAATCTTTATTATCCCTTTGGCATTTTGTTTTATTTTCAGCTTAATTGCCTATTGATGTCAAAGCGGATTTTTCCGATTTCTTATTTAAGTCTCTTAGTTGTCAGTATAGGGAAGGAGAGAGAAGAAAAAAAAAGCCAAACCTTTCCCTTTTCACTTTCCTTCGCTGCTTCCGACTCTTCTTTGGGAGCGATGTTATTTTTTGTAAGTTTAAATTCCAGGGTACTTTAGTTGTTGCTTTTACAATTTAACCCGGTCAGCCAAAACTTTCACTTCTTATCTTCCTCCTGCACATTCTTTTCCGGTCGAGTTCTCCTTTGTGGTGGCCATTTCTGACCATCGCTACAACCGCCTTCAGGAAAGGGAGTAATGGCCAGCTGAGGAGGAGAGATGCGGCTCTCCTCAACCCTGCTGGTGGTCTCCCCCCTCTTCACCAGCTCTACGGGGTGGCTTAGCCCCAAAACCAGCCGGCTCAGGGCGCTCCAGCGGCGAGCCCAGACAGAAACCATGCACGATCGCGGATTTCTGTCTGTTGCCGAAGCCCTTCAAACCGGAAGTCCCTAATTAATGTATTTCTTGTAGTGTTAGATGTGCAGATAATTCTCAATTAGCAACTACATATAATGACTATTTAAAATTATGACCTTCATAGGAAAGTAAAGATCAAGATTAAGCACAGCTGTAGTTTCATTTAGTGACTGCTTAATTTGCAAAATTCCAATTGTAGTCACTAAACGAGAACCACTTACATTACTTTGAGTTTAAATTGTTTTATTTGAAATAACCTATTTCTGCAACTTAGGAAAAGTCCTGAGCTCAAAAATGCTCACATGAGCATTAGAAGAGTGGCTGAAGTTCTAAGCTTTACAGCAGTGCTGATAAATGCTATGGATATCAAAGAAAAACTGGCTATTTTTTAAGGGGACAATGATATGAAAGGGAGGCCCATATATTTGGGTGGAAATGACATGTTTTCTATAGTATGAAAATTGTCATTTGATAGTTATTCAAATGCCAGATAACTACCAAGTGGATATAGTTAGTGCCTAGCCTTTTGTGGATCCTGGTCTTAAAATACGGCACAAGACAACAATTGTTTCACCTGAAACAAGTTGGTTTACAAGTTAAATGTCTTAGAGCAGAGATGAAGCATCAATAGATTTTCAAATGGTTCTGTAGTGCAGACTTTGGCATCTCTCACCAATAACCCTGCTGGCTGAGGTTCCTCGCTGGTTCCTTCTGCCCATTTAGAGGGCTGAGGAATAGAACTGAATAGACAATCCTTTATTTTTTGGCTCTAGTTTTTGCTTTCTACCATTTGGGTAAATACTGACGAGGTGCAGCTGAGTGAGAAGAAGATTGAGTTCTCTGTCAATTTCTATTCTCCACTGTATGGAGCTGACATTTCCTTGGAAGCTTTAGAGATAAAAACTAGTTAATCCATAGCTTCTTAATCTTCACTGTCTACCTACCTGGATCATCAGTTTTATATTTATCTTTCTGTCCTGTAATATCTCTTCTCTTTCCTTGAGACTACACTCTGGTCAGATTTGAAAGGATTGCTAGGTGTTGCGACCCATTTTGATAAGAAGGAAAACATATGCACGTACATACATACAATAAAAGTCTTTTCTTCAGTTGATAGGAAATATTTAATTACTAGTCCCTGGCAGTTATAATGGAACGTTTTATATTTTGCAGCAGTGAGTAAAATGGAGCTATATAATTTTTTTCAGCTATGAATAAGCATCCCATTCAGTTTCGTATATTTTTATGACTACTGCATACTTGCTGAAAATTATGCTGGAGCAGAAACATAAGCAAATTCAGGATTGTGAGAAAATTCCTATGAGCCATTTTTCTAAAGTAAAAGGTGAATCTCACAACAATCTGTGGTTGCAGTCAAAAGAGATAATTCATTCTTAGTTCTGCGATTCATTTCTGTGGTTCAGAATAATTTAGCAATAATAATCATCTGTGGATTATATCAATTATGTCTTCTTCTATTACTCAAACTCTTCATCTTTTTTTTTAAAGCTCTTAGTTTTTTTTAAAAAACCCACAGATTTATTCAACGATTGTTCCTTGTCCCTAAATGACTGTCCCAATCACCTCCTCCTGCCAAGAACTGCCTTCTTATTCATTGTGGCTGTCAGATTGGGGTCACAGAGGTAGAAACGTCCTGTCTTCAGGAAAAAAGGATATCATTGCAATATAGTTACTAGTACAAAGTACACTAAAAGGATCTGCACCTATAATACAAATACTAGCCAGGAAATGAATAAATAATTACTACTTCTGGGAGGAACTGGAACCAAGATTGGTCATTCCATCAACTCAGTTTCCAACTGTTGCCTTACATGTTTTGTTTTGTTTTTTAAGGAAATAATCTGTTGGAAGGAATACCGAGTTATTTTTCAAAATATTCAAAATTCGTATTCGCCATGGCATGCATTTTTAATACAGTTTTTTTCTTTGGGAAATAATCAGCGTAAGACTCCCTGTAAATATGTCAAGTGGAAATCCATATACAGTGCCACTATGTCTATTTAAAACATACTGCAGGATGCTGTTTCCAGGGAAGAAATATTCAGATAAGGTTTCAGAAAGAGTTGCCTTTTCTCAAGAGCAAATAATGGCCTTGCTCCAGGCTATTTGCCCACCCAGGTTATCAGTTAACATCTTCCTGAAACATGGACTTAATCAGGAATCATTAAATATTAAAATGCAAATTGATTTTAGAAGCCAGTCACGTTTGCATTGTAGGTCAATATCTATAATTTGAGAAAGGGGCTGTGCTTTAATTTTTAGAAAGGAGCTTTTTTCTTGTCATTGATTCAGTTCAGAGCAAAAATAAATGTATGTTGTCCAAGAAAATTGCTTTAGACTTCAAACATTGGCATTGCTAGATGGCAGAAAGATAGTTTATGGTCTTAGGATGTATTTTAGAATGCAGAGTGAGAAAAATGAGCTGTTTTTGCTCTGAAGTGCTGACCCAGGAAGATACTTGAAGCTTGTAAGTAGCAGCACAAGTGCCTCCAAAATTGACTCCCTGACTGCTATTTACCAAAATTTACTGTGATTTCAAGGCAGTTCCAGAAAGTTCTAAAAAGTTTGAATTTAGCATTGTATTTTATGTTTGTTATCACAGTAGATTTAAATCAGTTGTTCCAAGACTACTAGGCAGGGTTGTTGGCATTCCTTGATTAACATTCTGCAATATTCTTTGAAAACATTAACTAAATCCCTTTATGGCTTCCAAGCCTTCTTGCTGATATTGTTTGATTTTGTTGGTTACTCTGAAAACTTATTCTTTTATTATCAGACTTGTCTACAGGAGTCATATATCGGAGAAGGATTGCAACATGCCAAAATGTAATTCCACACATTCTAAGAAAGGTAACTAACTTCAATCCATTAAAATTCATTATAAACATGATATAGGCAAACTATGTTTTTGTTCAAAATTCATTAGTTTAACTTTTCGGAATTACAAATAACAGCATTTAAAAGCTGACTTTGTGTCTTGTAGAGGAGATAGCTGGTGTTTAAAGTCCTTATGTCAAAATGTGGATTTGTAAAACAATCAAACTGACATTTTTACAATATAGTTAATTTCTATAATCAAAATAAAATGGTGATTCTTGTTTTAAACTTCTAATATCTTCAACTTTCAAATTAAATTACATTATTTATGATATACTATATGTTCTGCTATGTACCATACAATTTTGTAAAGTGCTTTTTTAATTTTACATATTGAAAATATAAATCAATTTTACCACATTTCTTTTTACTCTTTCCATGCCTCATCCAAATGGGAAAGCATAAAATTTACAGGTAACAAAGAGAATGAAAAATGAACCCAAATGTTTTGAGTAATTATGTCTTGTGTGCAAACAGTTGATGCTTTATTTTGGCTCTGTTATGTTAAAGTGGACTTAAAAAGAAAAAGAAAATGGCACATATTAACAATGCTTTGCTTTTAAATGTTGCAATTGGCAACATTTAACAAGTTACTAAGCAGTGGAAATAACTAATAAAAGCTTGCATATTTATCAAATGTCAATGTTGTGTCAGTGATTACTCGTTACTGATAGATATTAGCCTTAATATAAACATTAATGGTTTGAAAAGAATGAAATCATTTACTAATGTACATAAACTGATTGTTTTTTCCTCACTCCATTTATTGACCATTGTAAATGTTACATTTGACAGATTAGTACCCTGAAAGTATCAGAAGTCTACTTAGAAGAGGAGTCGTGGCTTAATATGCAAGATAGAATTATGTCTATGAAGACTCATTGTCTTACGTGGACAGAGTATGCCACCCTAAATGAAGAATCAGTCTTCAGAGAAAGCTCTGAAAATCCAAATTGGTAAGGTATAGTAGGTTCATATATTAGAAAGTGGTATTTGTATTTTCATTTCATTTCACCTTCAATAGGAAGAACTGAAAGTTTTACCTTGGGCATCCATGATGGTTCTTAGTGATATAGTAAGTATGCAATTTATGAATCACCACAAACCAAGGCTTCCTCCTGCATGTATATTGAGATGCATTGAAAACATAGATTTGGGGCCCTTCTAAGACATGTTCTTTTAGTTTGTCAAACAGCTTACAACTGATAGGATGTCATGCAGCTCTATAAAAGTCATAAGGCCTTACTTTTATATTCTTTATACTGCTATCATTATTTATTGGTTGCAATATTTTTGTGCCACTTTTCACACTAAGAAGTTGTCCATAAACATTTTAATAATAATCATTTTTGGAAAACTGTTACAAATTAAAAAGAAGCAATATTGGCAGACAGACATAAAACCAACAGTAACATCCCATTAAAATCACTAAAACAACAATGTTCTGAAAATTTATTTATTTCCCCCTTTTTTATTTTTATAAAAAGACTCTGATGTAAACTGTAACCTTATGGCTTTTGGCATTCCAGGACTGTTATAGAGGGGTTGATCAGCCTAAGTTCAGTGAAAGGGATCCCACCTTAAAGGGAGAAATGCAACACGTCGCCTTTTTCAATGTTTGCAAACCATAAGAACTCCAACATTAGGAGAGGGAAAAGTGGGGAAGATAATCTAGAATCTGAAAGATCCAATCCTTAATAATACTTCACCCAGAGAGAAAACTTATGCCAACCCTGCAGCTGATTTAATAGAATTATTTCCGATTATTCACAAATAACAACAACCAAAGAAGATGTGTGTTGTATGTATGTGTGTATTAACATTGCAACTGGGACTGGAGATTAAGACTCCTACTTTTAGTCCAGGGGTGTCAAACTCAAGGCCTGCGGGCCGGATTCGGCCCATGATGTGGTTAGATCCAGCCCGTGGGGCTATCCGAGTCTACCCGCATCACTTTGGCCCAGTCTGCTCAATGCAGGGAGGAAAGATCAGGCCAGTGAAGCTTCAGCCTGGTATACCTGGTGCGAAAAGGAAAGATCAGGCCAATGTAGCTTCGGCCCGGTCTACCCAATTAGGCCAGTGTGGCTTTGGCCTGGTCTACTCAATGCAAAGAGGAAACATGCCAGCAGTTTGAGAAGTGGTATCAAGCTGACCCATGCCTACTTAGTTGGCCACACTACCCAGTCAGCCATGGCCCCTGGCCCCCCAAGGTCAACCACAACCCTGATGCAGCCCTTAGTGAAATTGAGTTTGACACCACTGTTCTAATCTATTGGTTGCATTGCTCAGAGGCCACTGGATAATTTCTTGAAGTCTCCAATCCTAAAGGGCCATGGGAGGATAAAAGCATTGTCCTAAATGCCTGCATGAAAGTCCCATCAACACTTTTCTAAATTGTGAGACTGTTGGTAATTCTATTGCAAATACTATATATTTTATATTTTGGGAATAACACAAGAGAAAAGCTTGCTTGGCAAATGTGTTTATGTGAGTACACAATTCCTTAAGAAGGCATCCTATATTGATGTAATATTTTGTTTGTAACAATAGGCTAATATAATGTTTTGGGGCTGTTAAATTGAAATAGAAAATGCCATATCCCTCAATATAAGCAAAGACAACCCATCACTGATCATATTTTTGTCTGGCATGTTATAAGAAACTTTGATTTGAAAAATATTTCAGTGCAGTTCATTCTACATTTAAAAATATTTATTCAAAAGAATTGAAGATAGGGAAATATCTGTAAAATAAAATGTGCTACATGCACAATGAGGTTGACATATGCAGAAGTTATATTGAAAGTACATTTTTTCATTGAAAATTCATAAAGAATTACCCCTCCCCCCCAAGAAAGCTGTGGTTTGTAAGGTATATTTTCTAAAATCTGGTTATACTTTAATAGTAAAGATTTCATCAAATGAAGGCGAACTTGGTTTTATTATTGAGCTGCTTTGCAGTTGTTCTGAAAAATGAGCAAAAAGTAATGAACCATTGATAAAAACAGGAATGGCATCCAGACAATTGTAGTATAAAAGAAGAATATGTGGAGCTTAAAAATTGTCTTGCATGTTATAAGCACCTGGCTCACTGCAATAAATCTTTTTTAGAAAGCCCCATGAAATAAAAATTTAATGTAATAGTAACCAGTCCAAAGTTAATGTATTATAAAAAGTTAATATTGGTTGAAGTAAAAGATATATGGATTTTTTTTTAACAGAGACTTTTGTATGAGCACTGTTTTCTGCAAGAATGCATTTAGTAGATAATTAGAATATTTTGGAGCAAATATTAGTCACTACGTTGTATTACATGGACACACACAAAAGAGGTGCCACTTTGTTCATGTGGACTGAGACCCATTTTCCTATGGTTTGAATATATGAAAAGCTGTGTGCAGAGATATTTTTAGTCTGTTGGTTAGAATTAATTGGATTAAAAAAGTGTTGGTTGAGAAGGATATGCTTTTGATTTCAGTCTTGGGTATGAAAAGAAAGCATAACTTAGCATTAGTTTTTTATGGCTCACTTTTAAAGACTGGAGTTGTAGAGGATGAAAAACAGAGCAAATCAGTTGGGAATGTTACATGAAAGTAAGTTTTGGAAACAAGTCCATTACAAAAATATATTGATCAGCTTCTTATCCTGAAGTGAGAGGGACATTCAGGTTCCCAGGAAAAGGATATGATTCTCCAGATGAGCTGTTCAGAACATCCATTGATTGGGATGATGCTTCTGTTGCTCGTCTGGTAGGCTGGGTTTTAATTGTGAGGACGCTTCTCCTCCATGGGACTCCTCCCTAGCGTCCCCAGTTTTTGCTCAGCCTTCATGGATACAGGCAGCTTAATTTCCTTTCCCTTGGCCGGAATAGCAAAGGCTTCAAAAAGAGACAACAAAAAGGTTTGCTTTTAAACTCTAAAAAAAATCCTTTAAGGCTCTTCGTATCAACGAGCCAAGCAGCTCCCTACAACATATAACATTGAGCCGAGGGAGCTCACCGTAGCTTCGGATAATGATCTCCTCGCCCCCAGGGCGATCGGAGGCGATAACGCCTCAGCTGCATGGCTAACAACTTATATTTCTTAGCCCGTGCCTTTACGATCTATTCAAGCCAAGCCGCTGTGATTGCTGCCACCCTGCTCAACGGGAGCGGCTCCATTTTAAAAGGGTCCGAGGCTTCTCTCTCTTCCCTGGGAACATGGTTTGGGGTGGGGGCATCAGCGCCCATCTGCCCCACCGCGCCTTTTTATTCAGGGGAAACTCTGCAATATCGACTCCCCACAAGGCGCAGAATTGCTGCTAAGCCTATTTTACTCATTATGCGCCTAAAGAGATAACGGCGGCATTGCAGACTCACTAACCGCATGGTAGTGATCTGCATTTTATTTCTGGAACTGTGAGAGGCCTTTCTTCTCCCAAGCAGGGGTCTCCTTCCTGGAACCCAGGGGAAATCACCCTAATACATACATACATACATACATACATACATACATACATACATACATACATACACACACACACACACACACACACAGACACACACACACACACACATGTATGGTATTAAGAAAACAAATATGTATGTATGTACATATGTATATGTATATGTACATTGATATTCAGATATAATTATTCTATTTTGGACCCTTATTCATTAAGGAGGAAACTGTTGGCTTATGCCCTCACAGAATTAAACAGCAGCACCACAGCGAGCACCAAGGCCGGTGTCCGCCTGTGCAGGAAGCTGTTGCAAGCCTACATGTTATTTCAACAGTTCTTCCTTTCTAGGCCTATGAGGTGTTCCAAATTTGGCTAATTTGGAAATAATAATATTAATAACAAAATAATAATAATGATAATAATAATAGGAACAAGAATAAGAATTCCAATATTCTTATATAAGATTATACAAAACTGGGGAGCATTGTTTTAGGGTTCCCTGGTCATTGCTGGTTCAGGCCCCTGGGCGTGCCAACCGCCCAATGTTTCAGCCTCATTAACAGTAAAATCTAATAAGTAGTCACAATGGCAAGCGGCAGTAGCTCCAGAGCCACAACCTCAAGAGCCATGTCAAATTCTTAAAACAAATTGAAGCATTCTAAGGGTACCTCCTAAGCAGCAGAAAAAGAAGCCAACAGGCGCCATAAGGTCCTAGAAAAGCACATGAAGAAGTTCATGTGGGAGGCTGAAGAAAATTCTCAAACCACCAGGCCTACTTTGGCTCCAATCCCCCTCTGCAACGCCTCCTGGATCTGTCTGTGTAATCCAGTGCAGCTGCACAACCTCAAGGTAGCCCATCTAGATCAGTACAAGTGACACGAAGGACCCCTGTGGCCACATTGCTCCAACAGCAGCCAGATTCCATCAAGATGATGACTTACTGGAAAAGATCCCTGCAAAGATGAAACTGTGGATGGAATTAGCGATACGTCAAGGTACCTCTCCACAGGAAATTCTGTAGTTTCAGATATACCCCCACAGGGTATATAGAAGGAGCAGGGGCATATTGATCGGGTGGAGCCAGTTCTGCTCAAATTTTAGTTAGATTCTCATCTTCTCACAATAAGAGATGATGGTTGATGCTACATCTTGATGACTAAAACAACGCCGGCATCATTTTGTTTATAAGAATTCCATGGCATTATCTGTTGAGAGGCCATTTCCCCTCACAAGGCTCTCTCCGTGAGGCTCCAGGGGACATTTATGCCGATTGCTGACTTCTTTCTGAGGTTGAATAACAGGCTTTTTTTTAAGTTGGCAGCCCTCACAGAATATAGCAGCACAATAACAGCGAGCGCCAAGGCCTGTGTCTGCTTGTGCAGGAAGCTGTTAAGGGCCAGTGACTGCAGGATTACCCAATTGCAATTCAGGTCCTGAAAGGTGTCCTCTATTTGGCTTCACAATTTGATTCCATATTCAGTCATCTAATTATGAGTTTGGTAACAGCACAACAATTT